AGCAGGATCGGGCTTTAAGCCTTTGGGTACGCAGAAATTGCGGCACGTGACCGGTGTGCAGATGCGCACGTGAACTCGCACGTAACGGCGCATGACGCGTGCTGGATGGTGTACGGTTTGATTCATTGAGTCTGATTCGATCGCTGGCGGTGATCATGTCGGTATCTTGATTTTTTTTTTTTGGTGACAGATGAGCCTCGGATTCGCGAAATCGTTGGAGCATGAGCAAAATTCGTTAAATTTGTTCTTGCTGCAAAATCAGGAACGTTGAGCATGTTGGTTCTATCAGGAAAAATTTTCGTGAGGGGCTCATTCTCACGTCTGAGCAGGAAGTGCTGAGGGGCCATCAGCAGCACAGAATACCAATATTGGCCCAGGGTAGGCCCAATATTGGTCCAACATACTGTGCTACCTCCTGTGCAAGCAGAGATTTGTCCACTTCCTCCAAATAACCGTGGAATTCAACCCAATCTGATGACCGAGGCCCTGATCCTCCATTTTAGCTGGGGCATTTTAATTACGCCATTTAACAATGGGTTTATTTATCGAGCTTTTTTCGCTTGAAAGCCATTCGAAACCATTACCTAACTCATTCAACTTGCTTTCAGCGAAACGCCCATTCATGTCTAACAGCTCTTTTACTCTGATGAGTTGCTAACGTGCAATAATATAATGTCCTCCTGAATTTAAATGAGATTTTAACGGCGCAATAAATATGTGGAGTCCTCTCCGTCTCTACAAAACGACGGTGCTACCTCGTTCCGTAGTTTTTTTCTCAGCATCTTTTTCGCAGCATCTTTCTCTCCTCTGATTATTTTGCGTTTCCGGTGCTTGGGGTTTGCTATTTCAGCTGGTGTTTATGAAGGCGTGGATTCTTGATTATCATTTTCTTTGTCTTACGTTTGTCACTTATTCCTCGCGAATTCCTCGTCAGTTTCATTCGTTGTTTTCTGAAAGTGTCATGTGCATGAAAGCATTTTTCTAGTACTGCAGGGTATTAAGAGAATATTCCGGCAGATCACGTGCAAAAATTGAGCATAGCTTCTCGACCGGAAAAGAGAAATGACAATTTAGAAAACCAGCGCTCGGGAACTAAAGGGAGAGTCTAGCTTGCAGAATTCAATAACCCCTCTGGCAAGCCTCCTCACACCTTTTTTTTTTTTTGCAAAGAAATGGGTTTGAGACATGCCAAGTAGCACAAAGGTAGTGGGCCATAGGCGGTCCAGGCGCTTTACAGGCGGATTCCTGGCGACCCAGCCGCTTGCAGCTGGTAGAACGTACAGTACTGTAGATGGCCCTCTACCGAGTTCAGGTGGTGGGCCACCAGCTTCGCATAATGGGTTTTATGCTTCCTCCGTAGCGTGATCCAAATGCAGTACCTTGAGCTCCCATCAGATGGTAGCCATATTCCCTGCAGCCTTAAAATGCAAGTAAGGACGTGCCTTCCTGATTCAGCCAAAGTGTGTTCTTCTCCCTTTCCTCTTTTTATTGTGCATTTTACGAACAGATAATCGGAACACGCAGAATTGTGATGTTCTGATCGCAATGTATTGAAATGCATGGAAATATTGAATGTTGAGCTTGAGTTTGGGAATACAAAAGTGTATGGGAATAAAGAATTTTAGAGTGCACTGTTTCACTTTCTTGGATGTATTAGTTCAATACATAGACCAGCTTCCGCATATTTCTGTTCGTCCTCTCAGCACGTGATGTCTAGGAAGACAAGACAAGAGAAGAGAAATGAATAGTGGGCACAGCATCGCCTTAGTGTCTCCTTAGCATGTAGGAGCTCCATGATTTAGTCACGTCGAAAATGCAAAGGAGCACCAGCTCTCCTCCCAGCTGGTGATCCACCACCTACGTGCTACTTGGGATGTGTGTTGGCTCGGAAGGTTGGAAGCAAGTGGGACAGCAGCAGATGGTTCGCTACCTAGTAGAGGTGGTAGGCCACCATTACTCTTCACTCGACGTAGCTGGTGGTCCACGACCTATGTGCTACTTGGGATTTGTCTTTGTGAGAAACACGAGAAGTCAGTCACTTTGGTGACATATGTTTGAGAGGCTTTCCGTCCCCCAAATTTGATGCATGCCTGCCGTGTGACGGGAGTAGGACGACAAACTCTTTAGGGCAGGGATTCTTAACCTGGGGTCCATGGGGAAGGTCCAGGGGATCCGTGGAGGGTCCATGGAAAATTAAATACATAATTGAATGTAGCTCCCGAAAAACATCATTTATAAAGACAAATCCAGGTGTTCCAAAGTTTCTGATTACCGGGGGTGGGGGTCCATGGGTAATACTTGATGATGGGGGGGTCCATAGGTGCAAAAAGTCAAGTTAAAAGTAAAAAAAGTTCAAAGTAAAATGGTTAAGAACCCCTTTTTTAGGGGAATCAATCAAGAGGTAGCATTTCATCTCCATTCCTCCAAAAATAAAAATGATGTTTTAATTTATATCGACTGCAACTTCAGATTCATCGATTGAACGATTAAGGCTTCATCGGTCTGGTGGACACCTGCATGTACAGGCGGACACTACGTAAGGGTACCTTGAGTCGGCAGGTGGACACCGTAGCTACCGTAGCCGGTGGGCAATAATTTATTTCTCTGCGCCTATCCCGCCTGCAGCTCTTTATACGAGCGTGAGCTGCGCCGTATTGAACCGCCGCGACGAGCATGACCCTTTCTATGTGAACGCGTTCTCGTGGGCCATAAATCAATAAAGAGGTAATCCGTTCTCGTCCAAATGATTAAAACGATAACCAATATTCAAAATTTGCAGTCCAGCCATGTCGTACTGTTTTGCCCTGTGAAGAATGTCGCCCGATCTTGCCCTCTTATCATAGGAGAGCAAGATCGGGTCCCGTCACAGACACTTGTTTTTTTTTGCACATATTACACCTCAGGATCAGAGAAGCTGTTCCATAATATACCGAGTAGAATAGGGTAATTTGGGGGAATATGGCCCTACAAAATAAAACCTGGTCATGACGGCCCATCGAGGTCGAATTTGACTTTTACAATGTTTCTAAGATATTGATTGATATCTCCTTTACTAAGTCCCAGTGAGGCATATGCAAAAAAACCCCATGTATATGGCGCCTTTGGATCTTTTTCGAGTTGGTCCCAAGAGGCCATATTACCCCTATAGTTGGGGGAATATGGCCATTTCTCAAAAAACTACTCTAGGTTTTCCAGGAACGTGTGAAATATGCTGGAACATGCTGAGTACCTTGAAACATAATAAAGGACTCACAGCAGTTGAAAAAGAAACACTAACTCAGTGATGAGCAACCTTTTCTGACTGCGGGCCGCAGGTGAACCTTTTAGGTTCCCAGCGGGCCGCATCTATTTCCCCCCCCCCCTACTGAATTACAGGTTTTATGCCTTCTGAGTACCAAAATAATTCTAAGCCTGGCTTAGTAAACCAGGTACTAAAATAGTATATGCTAATGATATGCAAATAATTTTGAATTTTCTTCTCATCTTTTTACCGAGCAAAGTACCAAGCAAGGCGCTTGCTCAGAGAGCAGTCATGCACTAACCAAGAAGAAAGTGAAGGGATATTTGCAACTGTGGTGGAAATATAGATTTCATGTTTAATTTCTTGCTTCCGTTTCTCCTGCAGTGGACAATGGAATCCTTGNCTAACCAAGAAGAAAGTGAAGGGATATTTGCAACTGTGGTGGAAATATAGATTTCATGTTTAATTTCTTGCTTCCGTTTCTCCTGCAGTGGACAATGGAATCCTTGAGCGCACATGCACTCTGCTCCGGTTGGCAGGAGACAGAAAAAAAAGTTCAGTTGACAGGAGCCCCGCGGGCCGCACAGTAGGACCTCGCGGGCCACATGCGGCTCGCGGGCCGCGGGTTGCTCATTACTGCACTAACTGCATTGAGGACAAGCAAAGAAGTCGACATCCTTACATGACTCGAGGAACCTTTGTGGAAAGCAGGATGCAACGCTTTTGCTTTTGAGTAACATTGCACGCGATTGTGAGACTATATCTAGAGACTGTGTTGTGTAAGAGGAGTGATCATGCATAGATTAAAGTGAACATGCGCTACGAGTGTAAAATAAAAGGTCTTACATTGCAGAAAAAAAGTTGCGTAGTTTTTGCATGTATTGATAAATAGTGCCAAAAAAATCAGAGAAAGTATGAGGGATATTCACTTGCATTCAAATTTTGTGCAAGGAAAATATCTCATGTACTGCATATTTTGTCCAGATGTCCAGTACGTATATCCATATATTCAGAGGAAGTGCATTGGATGATATATTGCAGTCTGAATTGCCACACGAAAGGAAGCTGACACTATCAATAGGTCAGTGCGGAGCTAACATGAAATGAAGGATGTGTCCATATTACCCCAATTCGAGATGGCCATATTCCCCCATATTGGCTTGCATGACGAAATTGACAACACAGTCTGCAAACCGCAAGTGAAGGGGCTAGCACTTTGCACAAGCATTCTGGAGAGACCATATAAGAACTTTTAAGAAATGGTTTCTGTATACATGCTGCCGTTAGGAAATATACGCTTAAGCTGCTCAAGGCTCATATTAGTTTCAGGGTCATGAGTCAAAGAATCGCATGCATATGACTTTCAAGACGTCGATGTATCCCGAATTCCTGTAAGAACTGGATCAATGAACAGATCTAAATATTTCGACAATTGCATGTACTCTTCGATAGAAATGTTTTTAAATTCGCCCAAACTAATTATTCAGTCTGTAAGGGTATTCATTGTGAAGGGTCATATTCCCCCAAGTTACCCTATCGGAAAATGCCAAAGAGATGTATGCCGAAAAATGTGCCAGAAGCTGTAAATGCGAAACTCATACCATCGTCATTCCATGCCACGTTCACTTCGTTTCGCGTCTGGGAAGTAAAATGGGAAAAAATTCCGAGGTGTCCTTGTTTGCACCTGTACCCGATTTGGTGCAAAGCAGGCTTCCAATGAAGCCCGACGAGGCTCACGATTCGATCGAAGATGCCCGCACCGAGAGCCTAGCCATGGCGCCACACTAGGATCTGTAGTTCGCTCTAGTTGCCTCGAGGAAGTATTGAGTTGAAAAATATATATTCCTCTCGGAAGAGATCTTCACGGTAGTTGCATTTTTCTTGTAACCCAGATTTCAGCATCCTGCATCATGACAACGATCAGGCCTTTCACATGTGACGATATGTTCCGCTTCAATGCTGTGTGAGTTGAGATCCTTCCCCTTCCATTACATGTTTTGCATGTTATGAGCTCTTTTAGGTACGGAATAAATCTAGGGCCTGCGAATGTGTCTTGACTTCGAAACCTACGTTTTACATCCTGCAAACTTGGACTGAATCTGTTGATAGGCCTAAAATTAAGCCCAGTGTATGATATAGTAAATACACGAAAGGCGAGCCCGTTTCTTTAGTACAATGACGTGCTGCACAAGAGAGGCTCCATAATAAACGAATGCTTCACGTAGGGTTGTGAGTGTGTTTATCTGTAAAAGTTGGATTGTGATCCACAATATCAGCTTGAAAGCCTTTGCATCATTAGTAATGATATCGCGAGAAGCATTGAAATGCAATAATATATCTGGACGCATGAATCGAACCAATGGCGCGAAAGCCGACCCTGCGGTTCCTCAAAGTCGGGCCTGTGATAGTGCTTCCTAGCCGCACTAAGCATCCACCACCCGGCGTGAAGGCCTTAGCAAGCCTCTATACATGCACGCTGCTCGCTGAGTTGGCTTGCAGAGCCAGGAACAACCGATTTTGGACAGACTGTATTTTCCCAGCATAATTGCCTTAGAGGTACCTCCAGGAGGGAGGTTCAAAGAGGTAACTAGCTGGATATTGCTTGGCAGTCAAACTTGATTAGAATATCCATGGTCTTTGATATAGATCTTATGCTGATCATGGAAAGATAGATGTATGGTTAGCACCTCCAGAGACATGCTGTTGTACATATGAATTCAGAATTCCCAACCTTAGGTGTGTGCTTCACTTGCCTATGACTAGGGATTGACTTTCAGAGACCCTCACCGCGATTCGGTCCAGAAAACTGACCCTATAAAATATCAAATCCCAAGAACATAATGATGTAACCATTTCTTACAGCATACTCTTCAGTTACCTTGGAACATTATATTTACAACCATTGACGCTTAAAGCTACCAGTAAGTACCACAACATAATATATACCAGGGACATTCGTAACCATGATCTCACTTAAGCGTGCCTCACTTAAGAGAAAACAAACTATGTAACTTAAGGAGCTCGTTTCTGGTTGACTATAAGGATTAACAATGATGCATTCTTGGTGAGACACATTTTAAGCTTTGCTTAAAACATGGATTTGAAGACGAAGACACAGAAGGCAGTATGTCATTATAATGGTGAGGTCCATGAAGTGAACCAGAATTCTGTCCAAATTCGTGCACAGGTCAACTTTCGCATACTTATGTTGTAGGCTCATATTGGCAGCATGCTTAATGTTAGGTAACTTGGGACTTGCAGCATTAAGGCATATAGGTGAAATTTGGTAAAGTTGGCATCCTGAGTCTTTGTGCAATGGGGTCTCCTGTTGTCAGGAGAACCCCCATGCAACCGGATTAGACGTGTCAACTGAGTCAATTTAAGGAGTCTTTTTTATTCTCCCAAAGGGGCAAGGCACTGAGCAAATTATGGGGAAGTTTCAGGGAGGGGGGATGTGAGGGCAGAGCCAGATGGAGTTCAGCATAAGTTGATGAACTCATCTTTGCAAATATTATTACATCCATGTCTCATAAACTGCGATGACCATCTAGTAGACTTCATCACCCTTTGATAGTCTAAATAAGGAATCAATATATCAACTATAGTCCCAGGCCCTGTAATAGATGGAAGTGAAGATGGCTTCATACTTAATGAAAACCTATGCACTATGTGGTTGTAGGTTTGTCTCATTTTAGGCCAGCCTTTATGTTACATGCTTTGTGGAAGCATTTCCCGTGAGTCTTTACTGCCAACATTAATTGGAAGGATGAATGCATGCCTGTGATATGTGTATAGAAAAAGTAACAATGGGCTTTGAGGTAATGAAAGAGATTAGTAAAAACTATGATGGTAGAAAGGGCAAAAAAGAGGATTGTATGAATGAATTATTACAGTGAAAAAGAAAAAAGTTCAAAGACTAAAACGGTAGTGCAATCTCTGTACAAAATGCAAAAATAGGAAAAGACTGACAAAAGTAAAATGGATGTGTAAACTAAGTATATGAGAGTATTCAATAAATTTTTGAAGGTCAAAGTTCTCCCCTCCTATGCTTGTGGCATAGATGTATTGCCTTTAAGTAAGGAATGGAAAGTCCTTATATTGGCTTGTTTCATTTGTTCATGTGTTTTTTTTTTAACAGAAAAGTAAGCCTTTCATATTATATATAAATTATCTATATCTGTTTTGTTAGTTTTATGTCATGTGCAACCTATGCCATTTTTCAGTTGCTTCCACTCACCTCCCCATTTGGACAAGACCTAGGCAGTGGTGTTGGTGGTTGGGAAGGAAATAATTTTATGCCTTGCATTAATTCTAGTTGCACACAACATCCAATTTAGCCATAAATGTTATGAAATGTAAAATACCAGTGTGTAAAATTCAGTGGCGTTTTTTCTCTATATTTCAGGAACCTGGACCCCCTGACTGAAACTGTATCCTTCTTTGTGATACTTGGCCTGAATATCTGCATTTTGCTGAGCGAGGCAAAGAACTGGATGATAAGATGCTTTCTACATATACATGACAGTAGGTGCTGTCAATGGAGGCCAAAGTTCTTATTGGGGGGCTCTTATGGGAGGATTCTCTTGTCCAGTCTACTCCAGTAGTCTTGAGTGTGCTATTCGAATTGGATATGCTATCTTGAGTATTGTGCAGATATTACAGGCAGTGTATGAAATCAGGCATTCCATATAGAATGCCTAGGTTTTCCATAAATTACCTGAATTTTATACTCTGCCTGTAACCTATACATCCACATGTGGCCATTCATACAGATTCAAGATCTTTTATTGACATGATTTATATTTCAGAGTTCTGACTGAATGGAAGAGGAAAAACAAGGGTCATATATATCACATTTTGTATTATTGGCATGGGCCTGATTTCAAGACCAGCTATTGTCATTTTCCTTAAGAAGGAAGTCCTTTTACTTACTTAATGAATTGGCCTCTTATGGTACAATTTTGGGTACCTGTCTCATATCTATGATCTTTCTTATGTTAGTCAGAAGTACTTCATCTATTCCTTGACATTGACATTACAGTATGCGCTGACTTTCTATCTTCAGTACTTGGCACACTGGCCAGAGTATTTCCAAGTGGCAGAATCCTGCTCTGGCCATATAGAAGGCTATAGTAAGTTACCCATCCTTCTCAATCTTTGTTTCTCATAAATACCAGTATAGGCCTAAGTTGGTCTGAAGTCAGTGAAGTAGTTTCATAGCCCACATTTTATATTCTGTGCAAGATTAAAGAAATTTTTAGAAAGTATGGGTGGGATTGTACATTTTGATTTCTGGATTCTTGTGGATTTATTTTTTCAATGGAATATAGGAAATGGGGAATAAGAATGTCTTCATGTTATGAGGATCATCAATGATGATTAGGAACAGTATAATAGGAATGGAGAGATCTTGGACATATGAAGGGCTTATCCAACCTTGCTACCATATTTTCACTCTGTTGCAGTTATGGGAAAGGCTGAAGGACATGGAGAAAACTGGCATGGGCATGTGACAGCCCTCAGTATTGCCCCTGAGCACAGGCGCCTTGGTCTGGCTGCCAGGCTGATGGCCAATCTGGAGGAGATCTCCGAAAAGTTTGTTTAATCTTAGGCTGGGGAAAGAATGCTTCCCCATTTAGTTCTTTCTACCTGGACTGGAGTATATGTCTGCCTTTGATTTACAAGTTGCTTGTGTTCTCTTTCAATCCACCAGGAAGCGAGCATACTTTGTGGACCTGTTTGTGAGGGTGTCCAATCAGGTGGCTATCAACATGTACAAAAGGCTTGGCTACATTGTTTACAGGACAGTTTTGGAATATTACTCAGGTGACCCAGATGAAGATGCCTATGGTGAGTTTATTCATTATCACTGTGCCAATTTCATGAGATAGCTTGTCATTAACATATGAAGAAAAGAGTACCAGGAAATGAAAATCATAATGATGGAGTTCATTGAATGGCATAAGGCAAGAGAAAATCAGTGTAAACTTTGAGCAAACACTCAGTATTGATATTGATTCATTTGAAATTTTTTTTAGGAAAAAAATCCTCTGCAAGAAAACCCGATGAATGAATTTCAATGTAAGAGTAGTTTTATGTAATTTGGATTATATACAATCAGTTTAGAGGCACTAATCCAGTAAAATACTCGCATGAGCTCTGGTCCATTTTCAATATTCAACATCTTTTGGATAATTGCACAAAGCTTTGCCTTGGCCCTTAGATGGACTTTTGAAGATTTGTTGAAGTCATATGTATTGATGTGCAGTGAATGGTTCATGGAAGTATCTGCAGTGGGAGTAGAGATATACTGGTTAAAAAATTTTTTTTTCCATATTCTGAGTACTCATTTTACTTTTGATAGTATGACAGAGACTATGTGACTGATTAGTACCAAATAGAGCAAGGTCATTTTGATTAAGGGGCCCTTGTCATGTTTTTTTCTTTTTAACCAAATCAAGTTTGAGAAATATGTTTCTTGGAACAGGCATAATAGACTTACTGGTCTTTTATGTCTCATCACAGACATACTGGTCTATAATGGACTTCTACTGCTATGTCTCCTTCAGGCAAAGACAAAAATATGTATTTCTTTGTTTAAAGGGACTTTTTACTTTTACTTTTAATTCATTGGGTATCTTTTAAAGGTGTGAATACTTCATGTGAACTGGAGCATTACCATCTCAAGTCAAAATCACTTGATCAAGTGTATCAATTTTTCTTGCAGACATGAGGAAGGCTCTGTCAAGAGACGTGGACAGGAAGTCGGTCATTCCGCTAACCCACCCGGTACGATCGGATGAGATAGACTGACAGTAATTCCCGGCATGGGACTTCCAAACCCACCTGCAACAGGTTGAGCTTGATAGCCTTCTGCAAATCATAAGCATCAGCCATGATCATGCTCAGCCTTTGGGGTTTGGGAGGCAACCAGGTCGGGCTTGGCTGCTTTGGATGTTCCTGTTTGATGTGGGGTGGCAGATATCATCCAATCAGGAAGATAATTGGAGGATGATATGTTGCTGTCACAGTGATTACTGTTTAGCATGAGCAAGTCCTCATTGCGAACAGCTTCAATGTTTATTTGATGGTGACAGTGACACACCAATGATGACATGAGTAAAGGCAAGAAATTGAAAATAAATGAGATGTGTGTATGCTGAATTGATTAACTGCTGGATGTTTGACCAAATACAGAATGATTTTTGATCCTTTGGAGATTTGATTAATATATGTGGATTTATTATTTCTTAGAGCTTCAGGCTCTTTCCCTTGTCTTTTTTGCTACAAGGTACTGGTACATGGATCTGGTTGTCATGAATACTGCAAGACTGGATTAATAATCTTCTGGATTTGTGGGGCCCACTTTAGCTGCTTGTTCCCAACCTCTTTCTAGTTTATATTGCTCCCATAAGTTGAGAATGAAAAAGTTCTGAAATGTGCATAGAAAAATTTAATTTAAAAATGTCAAAATAAGCATGAGATATGCTTAGAAAAGCAACGAAATTCAGTTTGAATAATCGTTATGGTGATGCTGGGTCTCTCCTGAAAAATTCTTTTTAGGGTTGAATTGTTTGATGAATGTCAGTTTCTCCCTGCCCTCAAAAATGTAGGCTTAGGTGATTGAGGAAGGGGAAATTCTCAAGTGGAGGTGGCCCATCCTCACCCTTCCCACCTATGTTCTTCCCAACTTTATAAGGGAGGGACAATGAGCCTTGTAGATATTGCATGGCCTGAAGACCATTTGCAATGCTCCAGATCAATATATTCCTCTTTTTTTTGTTATAAAGTTTTTCATTATTCCTTTTTACTTAAATCTGATTTTTTTTTCAGCTGCTTTGTTCTTTTCTGCAGTTTTCTATTGCACACATGTTTTCATGGTATCTTCATCTTCCATTGTTTGAGTCGGCACTGGGATCTGGTAGACTGCATGCATGTTTATTTATACATTCAAGAGGGAAAAGAATAGTTCCACCATCTCCCATGCGTGTTCCTCGTGATACTCATACTTCCGCCTAGTCGGACTTCTCTTGATTGAAGTTCCTGCTGCCTCTACAGTTGAACAGGAACTGAGGTTTCTCCACGTTTAAGAACTGGTAAACGAGACCGAAATGGATAAGCACATTTTTTCACAGACGAAATTTCCTTTGGGTCCTGCGCGAGGTCGCTTTACAGTATAAAATATATAATTTACTTTTTATTTATTCTATCTGATATTTTAGCGGTCAAGGGTTTGGGTGTCTCGACTGAAGTGAGATGGATCTTGAGAATCACCCGCTAACGGCTTTGGGAAAGTTAACTCATCCGCAGAGGGTTAGAAGAAAAGACACCCGAGGGAAAAGTTGATCAGTCCGTGAAATTGTAACTTGCCTTCTCATTTTCTCGGGAGAGGAGGGGAGGAATTTTTTTTTTTTTTTCGATGCCAAATTTTGTTGGCTTGGAAAACGTCCGCCGGCTAATTTTAGGAAGTGAAAACTTTTATCACCCCCCCCTCCCCCCCAAAAAAAAATTCTAATAAATAAATAAAAATGCGTTCAATTCGGTGAGTCTCACTGGCATTCCCGCTGTCGCATTGGCAATCTTTGACACCGTGGGGTTTTGCAATCAATATTGGCGCTTTCCAGATACTAGCACGAAGTACTTGCTAGCGCCTGCTGCAGTACTAGGTGGTATCGTCGTAGAAGCAGTTTTGAGTGCATGACAATTTTATACGGCTCGTGAGAGTGCGAACAATGGCTCGGAGAAAGTTTCATAACTGCAGGCCGAAATTGCAGGGGACAGCGTCCCCGTACCCATTAATCATCGAAATACTTATTTTTCCATTGCCACGGTACCTGCAATTAACGAGTGAGTGATCACTCTCAAGTACTCAAAAGAATTCCATTGGCATATCGAGTTTAACCCACGCACCTACTGGCATTTTGTGAACGCTGATTGAAACTAGTTATCAGCTCGCAAGAAAAGACCAGGAGAAAACCATTGATTAGTTTTGAGCAGCGATCTCTCCTGATATTTTTCTGAGGATTTTCAGTGATTGGTCCTCTAACAATTACTCAAAAATCAATGCTTTACCAACGATTCAGACTCCAGAATTCGTTATCATGATTAAAAACTCATTAATTAAATGAATTTAACCATATAAGCGGCAACTCCTTGATTGAACTTCTTGACTCGCCCTCGTATAGGCTTTTAACACAGTCTTATCCTTACCATTTTTTTAGTTGAACCGTACCCATCAAACAAGTGTATAATTATTTTTCTTATGAATCAGTTCAAGTGGACCGATCCAATCCACATCAATTGCGCACCTTCCCGCGTCATTCGGTGCGCCCTGTCACACGGTGGATGGGAGCCATCTGGCTCTCCCAACTAGGGAGGTTAGCCAGGGCCATTAATCTCTCTCGAAGGATGCGGAGCGATCCCGGGATGGCCTCAATTCAGTATGCGTGCGGTTAATGCTGATGGTCGGCACGCCGGAACGGTTTGCAGCGCCTTCAGGGCGGAGTTTTTCGCTCCTTGGCACCTGATGATGATAGCGACCAGCGTGACATTGTGGACATGTTGCGAAGCTCTAACAGGAGGTTCCCATACTTACCCATTTTCTCTTTCTCCTATGAGCAGATTATTATTGGCATTATTAGCATTTAATTTGTATATTAATTTTTAAATATATAAATATATAATCTTGGAAATATTGGTAATGTGACTGATGACCGAAAGGGTTCTGAGACTCTTGAATAACGTAGGGAAATATGTTTGGTGCTCAGAACGTATGTAAACATGGTTTTCAAATTGCCGTCTTTGATCATTCGGGAAAGCAACCATATATGTCTGAGATGGAGCAACCATATATGTTGAGTTGGAGGTCATTTGGGAATGCGAAAATATCAGTTAGGTAAATACGCTCAAAATTTTGTTTGGGAACCTTGAGTATTAATTTGAAAATAAACTCGTTATGGATGCACGCTCGTTTATCCTTGACAACGCCTTATTGATTCCAAAGAGAGCAGAGAGCCGATGACCCCACCCTGCTTACATCAACCAGCTAGAAATTAACCGCCCCTGCAAATGGATATTATCGGCAGGGAAAAATAATGACAAAGTGGGCCTCATCGATTGAATTCCCAATGACCATCGCAAATGTATCCGTCAGTGGACCATTTAGCATCGGAGTCCAAGACGGAGCGGTTCGCAACATGAAGCTGACCCTGTGGGAGAAATTTCGGCCCTCGGGCTTCCTGCTGCTCATCAGCGGGACGTTCCCGTACTCCGGGATTTTTGGAACATCCACTCCGACATTCCACGCCTGCACCTTCCCTTTCCTCTACTGCGCGATGACCGCCACTCTCCTGGCCTACAACAGCGTGAACGTCTTCACTAACCTCTTCGACCGTGGTTTGATGGAGTCCCACATGTTAGAGGAAGGATGCGGACTCTTCCAGGCGGTGGTGAAGGCACTCTTGATCACCAACCTTCACCTTCTCTCGCTCTTCTACCAGATCTACTTTCTCTTCTTTGGCCGCGGGGTGGCGGTGCTGTTCCGCGCCTTCGACGAGAGGTTGGGGTCTGGCTCCAGCAGCCTTCCCCGCTGGGCTCCCCTCGGGGCTGCGGTCGTCATGATGTGCTTTTCGTTCGTCAGATTCCTCGCTTTCAATGAACTGGGCCTGTGCTTCAAGCTTGGAAATCTCTTCGAGGCTTTGGTCAGCCTAAACGGCACATCGATCACGATTTTGACCCTGGCGTTTTTCCTGGAACTCGGGAAGACCTTGGACGCCGTCGACCCGAACTCCCACCCGCTGCTCATCAAGTACGCCCAACTTTTGCACCGATAAAGACGGCGAATCATATATTTCCCTTTCCCCCACTCCTTAGGAGGAAGTACCTGGACGTCTGGATCCTGGCCGGGGAAGTTGGAGAAACCCTGAGCTACCCGCTGATGGTGACGCTCTTCAACATTTTCCTCCTGATCTTCGCGGAACTCTACAACGCCCTCTCCCTGCTGAGAAGCCCGGATCTCTCGTCGAATCTGCACAACTACTACGAGCTGGCGGAATCCGCAGTCACTCTCGTGCACCAAGTCTTTCGCCTTCTGCTCCTCACTTGCGGTTGCCATTGGATCCAGCGGAAGGTGAATGCTCTCGATTTCTCTTCTTCGACTGACAGAACGACGACAGACGAGACCTAAGGGCCCAGATGCACTTAGCGAGTGCTCGCTTGAAAGATGTCCAACGTCAGGGAAGTGCTCGCTAGCGAGAACAAAGGGCAACCTGAAGGCATGAAGGTCCTCGGCACTCCAAGGCAATTGAAAGAGGAAGTGAACGCGTCCTAGATGACTCCATCGTAGCGAATGCAAGAATAGGCTCTCGCTATAACCGTTGATGGGGCCTTCGAATAGGGGTCGCTTCGAGTCCATCACGGATCCCAACGCGTCGGACTTCGCATGCAGATCCCGTCCGTCGCGCTTGGCGTTCGAGCGGCGGATGACTTTTGACGACATCGTTCGGATGAAAGGTACAGGGCATTCGACCGAGAATGACAAATAGAAAGAAAATAGGAAATGCGAGAGAGTACTCGTCGAGCGTCTCGGGGTCTAAAGGCAGGAAATTCTACGGTTTTAGGAAGTAGCAAGCGGATTTTAAAGTCTGTGTCAGAAAGGCCAGTGTCTGCCTCTCGTTGTCTCTCTCTTTTTCTCGTGAGAGAAAGAAAAACTTTCGACGGGAAAGAAAGGCTCCACTGACGACATGGGACCGAAAACCGATTCCTTGGCGAAATACGATGGTACCGTCTGAGAAGTAATGATTTATTTAATACTTCATCTGACATCATCCATTTTCCCCATGACATCATGAGGCAATTAGGAAATGTGAGAGCTCTTGCTCCTGAGAACTCCATCAAACCCCGCTCGATTTCGACGCCCGTGCGAAGGCGCTCGATGGAGTTGAATTTTCGATCATTTGAATCGACGGCTGTCGGTTCGAGGCGAATACTCGTCGAGCGTCTCGGGGTCTAAAGGCAGGAAATTCTTCGGTTTTAGGAAGTAGCAAGCGGATTTTAAAGTCGGAGTGATCACATGAAGCCTGTGCACCCACGCGGGCTACTCATCAAAGCTCTATGTCTCGCATAGGCCCCATGCGGGACGTAGCTGAGGGGGGCGGGGGATGTGTCCAGACTTTCGGGATATCGTTTTATTGACCTCATCTTGCAATTTGTGCCTGATTTTCTCAGGAGCGAGGAGGTCAGACAAAACGAAAGTGTTGATATTTGTCGATGATCTGGTCGAGACCAGTGGAGCCTATCCAATCGAGCTGCACAGTAACGAGTGAAAGGTGGACATGAATCG